ACTTTTTTCTTCCAAACTCCTCTCAGAAGGATATTGTAGATGATCTTTTTTGGCTTCATACTGAAAACTTTGAGTGCCCACACTACCTTAATTTAGTTCAGAGCAAATCTGCAGATCAAGATTTGGTGGATGCCATAGTGGAGAGAGAACTTCTCCCTGCAACCTGCAGCACAGCAAATACTTAAGATAAAATTTATTTTTCTGAAGCAGAAACAGGAAAAAGCTTGACTTAGCAAGAAATAAACCTATTCAGCAGAATATCTCCATTAATATAAAGCTGTTCATACACCAATCCTGAGATCAAAATCTAGTTTTGCAATCAGGAGGAATGGGGAAATGTATGCAGCTATATACACCATTAAAGGCTTGTTTGATGGGTAGCCGCATAACAGTATCTAACTCTGGACAGAATGTGAAAAGCAAGGACTAACAAACAGGATTAACAGTATAATCGCTATTATGTCATCCCTGACTTTTTAGGCAAGGTGCATCAGGTCTTTCCTGTTCAGGGCCAAATTACTGATTTGGAATCGGTAATTGGTTTGTGTTACTGTCCTCCAATAAGGCTGTATTCAGGTGACCTAAATCCCACCTAGTTCCCTTTACCTACTATTCCCTGTTAGCTAGTTCTAGACTGAGGTGTTTCTTGCACACTTGGATCTTCTCACATGCGTGGCTTATCAAGGTAGAATAAAGGGCATTAGTTTATGACCAGGGTTCCTAAGTCCTTGTAATAATTAGTAACACTGTTAACGCTTCCATTAGTTATTGAACTATCGGGGTCTGTTCTATTTTAAAAAAAGTCACTTAATTCTGATCTTGAATTTTGTAACAATTTACCCCCTTGTCATTCATTGTCATTCAGTACATTGCTGCTATTTTAAAACTAGGTTTATTTTTTCAAATGTGCAAAAATAATGTACTTTCTAGGCTGAAACCAGAAAAGCTTGAAGGAGATCTTGATAAATATGCTGAACGTGCCATGAAAATGAAAAAAGCAAAGGTTGATCTTAAAGAATTTTCAGCATACTTGGAATTTCCAGTTTCTCCCACATTAGAAAGTATGTTTGCCCTTTTTGATGAGGTAAGAAACAACAATATGTTTAAAAACTGTATCACTTGTGATAAACTCTACTTTAACCTAATTTTGTTCCCACTGAATTCACTGAGGTCTGATTTGAGCCAGTGCTTTTGAAAGCTAAGTGCTTTTGAAAATATCACTATATAGCATTGAGCTACTGCACTTCCCTTTCAGCAAGGTGAGACTACATTTGATTGATGGCATTGCCAACTAAATAAAGCAGTCCTTCAGGTAGAAGGTAAACGGAGTTGGACACAACTGATTTTTTTTTTTTTTTCTAGATGTGATATACGAGGAGGAAAAAAGATTGGTTCAGGCCAAGCCTTTCTTGTTGCAACTGGAAAGGCTTGGCCTGAACCAATCTTTTGTCCAATCTTTGTAAGGGAGTCGGTGATTCCCTTACCTTGTAAATAAATCATTTGTCCTTCTAGGAATGCCTGAAATGTTGAAGGACCCGGGAGCTTGGCAAATGAGCCAGCTTTTCATTCTTTTTGGCAATCAGCTAAGACGGGGAAGTGACCATTATCTTTATCTGGATGAGATGTTACTTGGGCCAGGAGATTAGATAAGTTTGGTTATGTCCACAATGTTTTCCTCTAGGCCAGTGAGGTGTGTCATGTGTTCAGGGTTTAATTTAAGCTAGTTTTGTCCCCTGGTTCTCTAATTTTAATTTTTAACCTGGTAGTTTGAATGTCTTAACGTAAAGCCTTGAAAATGCAAGTATAGGGTAACGGTAGCAGCAGTGTCTCCCAGAAATCTTAGGATTATGACTTCTGAGATTTTTGAAAAGAGCCTGAAGAGGTTTTACCACCTCAATTCTTGCACTAAAGTAATTCATATTCAATGGGACCTTTTTTGCAACTGCATATGTAAAGATCTTTCTGAATATTCTACATCTGTAGCAGCTGTTAAGTATTTATCAATTCTGAGACAAATTGCAGTGTTTTGAGGTGAGGTTATCCTTTGCAGAATGAATATGACATAATTGACATACGGGAATTCGTTATTGCTCTGTCAGTTGTCTGTAAACCATCCAAAACTCTGGAAACAATTCAGTTGGCATTTCAGGTAAGCAGCATTTTCTTCCTCTATGTTGTTTACATACTTTGTTTTTAGAAATGATGCCATTAGTTTTAACAGAATCTTGTTTCATGTGTTCCTTTGATACATACTTACATTTAAAAAATATATTAATACAAAATTGGATTTGGGGGCCGCTTTCAGAGGGAATGATCTGCAGGTTTGGGCTTCAGCCATGTAAAACAATGGAAGTTTGGGGAATGATGTTGATTTCTGTGGAGCTCAGCTAGAATCTTTACCAGCACGCTGAGTCTCAGAACTGCAATCCTTTGTATTTGTTGCTCCAAATTAAATGCTAATGAGTTTTACTTATTGCTGTTTATAATCTTTCTGTTGAACCTTTTCTTCCTCCAGGTTAAAATTTTTCAAAACATTCATTTTTACATATTCATAGGAAACATTTTTTTCTCCTTTCATTTCCTTGGTAAGATTTTTTAGTCTTACCGTGTTTCTGTGGTAGTCCTGCAGTTCTGAAGAAAGTTCTTTGCCCAGACTTTATTCTTCCCAAAAGTGCTCTTGATCGTTTTCTAGCCCTAGTAGGTGGTTGGAGCATCAGCACAGATGGCTAGTGCAGGCTCTTTGGGAAACTGGCAGCAGCAATATTGACATTTGGCATTCCAGTGGGTTTGTCTGACACCTTGATTTTTTTTTTTTTTTTTCACTTTTGACTCATTTCATTAATATTGCTATTTCAACACATCTTGCATCAATCTTTTCCCTTTCCTGTGAACTCATCATGTCTTGTGCCTTTAGTGTTACTGAGACTGGAGAGTGTTAACTCCTGATGCTGTCAGCACTGGTGAATGAATGGAGTTGAGAGCATCCCCTTGCATAACACCTCGTGGCAGCCTTATTTTTGGAGTGTACATATTCTCAGGTTCTTCAGCATACTTGCTTGGTTTTTTCTGTCTTATCTATATTTTCCTAAAGAAATGAGGCTGCTGTGAATATTCACGTGTTCGCATCTACCATTCTCACCCTTTGGCAAACAAATTTGACAAAGGATAAAATGGCAAAGACATTTAGTTTCTACAAATTTTGTCAAAATCGGGAGCAATTAGAGGGTAATTAGTTCCCAGGTTAACTGCAGAACAGACTGAACTGTAGAACTGCAAAGACAACATGCATTAAGATGGGAAAGCATTCAGCAAGAGGAAGAGGACATGGCTTATGGTTTATCCTGCTAATGATGATCAGAAGGGTAAAAAACGGTCTGGAGCTGAGGAAGTTTTGCTGACAGTATTTTAGGAAAAAGGAAAATAAAACCTGTGAAGTGATTGTGTGTGTGCGTTGCAGAACTTGGAAAACAGAGGTTACTGTGCCACCAGATTTCTGAAGTGGTGAGCAATTAAAAGTAGAAGAAGGAATTATGATAGTAAATTCCAAGAGCAGCCTTCTGCTGTAAGTGCCAGGCATCCTCCCTTTCTATTTGCCAAGGAAATGAAAGGATGTTGTGAATTCTGCCGATGTGATGCTTGTGAACCTTTCCATCGAATGTGACCTTCTGACTGCCTGATCTGTGAAAATACAGCAGGCTTCATTAAATCAATGTCTTGTCCTTGCTCCTACTCTTTGTGGAGCAGGGTGTAAGTTAGATGCTAAGGAGGAAAGCACAAGAGTCCTGTTTTGGTCATGAATTGTTGTTTTCCATGCAGCTTTAACGCTCTTGATTCCATTGAGGTGTTCTCTTTTGTGGCAGCAACTTTTGCCTTGTGAAAAAATACTTACTTATATGCCCGTCTTGTTCAGCCTCATCAATTCTCACCTCTTTATTGCTGTGGAGAAACTAAAGACGTTTCCAAAACAGTTTTTTAAAATATACATACGGTTCAATATTTGCAGTGCTGTCTTGACAAAAATTAGACAAGGATGTTTCAAAAACTCTTTTGCCTCAGTTTCTATTGAAGAGGCAAAATGAATTATTCAAGAAAGTTTTATGAAGTTTTGTTACAGATGTTTTTAAATACTGAGGTGGTTTTTCCAGGGGAAAGTACTGTATATATGCAAAGACAGAATGAGATTATTATTTTAAGTTAACAGTCTCCTCTAATTAGTAAAGCTAACTTTTTAGGACCTAAACAGGGTCTCCTGATCTCAGACTCTTTGGGAGTGTAGACACCTAGCACTATGGACTGATACTTATTCTCAATTATATGCCTGCAAAAGATGTTAAACAATCTTGTTACCTTTTAAATACTCTGATTCTAGTGTTGAAGTATGCACACACAGTGTTTTCTGGATATAGCAGGCTTTACTTTCTAAGCATACACAGGCCAATAATAATTTCATCAATACTAACTTTTACCCAGCCTATTCAGAAATTCTTGATATGCCATCATCAATCTCAGACCAACTAGAATTTCCAAAACCAAATGTTATGTGCATAACTTCTTAATGTATTGTTGTTTATGGGAGTTAATATTCAGCTTTGCAATGATTTGTCTTGGTATGTTGTTTCATAGCTATACCAGTCAGAAAATGGAACTATACTAAAAGAGGATTTAGCTCATATTTTGAAGACTGCCATGGGTGTGTCACAGATCAATGTAACGCACCTTTTTAGAGCTGTAGATGAAGAAGAAAAGGGGGAGATTACATACGGTGAGTATCTCGGTCTGGATCTGAAATGTCACAAATGTAAAGGTTGTCTGAATTTATGTTGATTTACAAACAAATTATATTTTTATTAGACTACTTTTTGTCTTGTTTTATAATTATAAAAGCACAGCAGACAGCAAATTTAGATTTTCAGAGTTGTTTTCAGAGTTTGTTTCACTTCCATATTAAATCAGGCAATACCCAGATAAGCTCTTCCAGCGTATTCTGTTCTGTGACTTTCATGTGTAAAGCAGTCTTAGCTCGTCCTGTCATTTTATCTGTTGTATCTGTTTCTCATTATTTCTGTCCTCCGATAATATATTGGTGTATAGCAGGACTTTCTACTCCTTAAATAACTTCTCAGGCAGTTTGAAAATAAGTTATGGGGGAAGAAGCGGGGGGAATTTTGAACAAGCTGCTCAATATGTAGTCTATAATGCTGGTAATTTGGAGGCAAGAAACTTGCCTCCAAAAAAAGGTGAGATTTATGTGAATAAGGTACAGCACTGAGAATCAAAGCTCTAATTTCAGTTGTATCATTTAAGTATTAATATTGTTAAGAATAGTAATAAGATTTAAAAAATAGCAGTAGTAGTCTAAAGCAGCCTAGCCTGCAGGCACACCTATATTCTGGAGTTATTGATAGCCAGCATATCACCTATCTCCAAGAAAGTGCTTATGACTTGCCCGTGTTCTAATGTTTTTTCTTCGGGATAATCAGCATGTATTAATTGGTTAAAAATGTTACAAATTAAAACATTAGTGTTAGAGAATTGCAATTTTCTACACTAGTGATTCCCATGTCTCTACCATATGTGTAGTGCTTCAACTACAGCACAGTTTTACTTGAACCTGCTGAAATGAGTCTCAGTACTACTGACCTTCCCTCCTTTTTTTTTTCCCCCTCCTCTGACTGCTACCTCTTTGCCTTCTTGATTCCTGCGGTACCACACTTTTCTTCTCCATGCGTCTCACCTGCCAAATCCCCAGCGCTGCATCTGTCCCTCCTCCGCTATTCCCCTTTTGATGACTATCTTTGTTACTCCTTGTTTTCTCCCAATTCATTTGGGGTCGTGACTGTACTCTTTTTTTTCCCCTCTCTGTTGCCAGCTTCAAAAATGCGAGTACTGAACTTAAGCTGGTGAGCCCAGCAGAACTCCTAATGTTAGCACATCTCATTAGTTGAAAAGTGGTCAAATTTGAAAAAATATACAAGCAAACTCAAATCAGTACACATGGGTTATTGAAGAATTCGTACTCAATGTCCATCTTTAATAATACCTAGTTGCATTTTAAATCTGCACTTTCCCCTGAGTGGCTGTGGGATGTTTCCATCGCAAGAAATGCTTCTCCATTCAGCCACAACAGTGGCTACGGAAATGTTTAACTGTCATTTCCACCTTTCCTTCGGCATTCACCAGTAGCCTGTTGTGAGGCTATACAAAAGGGGATGTTGTTTGCATTGCTGCTTTGAAATTTTGCTTGAATCTTCTTTTTCTGAGAAAAGTGCTCATTTTATAAATAATATAAACACTATAAGAACAGTTTTAGCAACTTATTCTTACTATGATTAAGCTTTCAGATAAGTGTCCCATTTTTTTCGTGGCAGAGAACTGGAGATTTCGTGGGAGATGAAGGTAGACTTTAGGTATTGCATTTGTGCCTCTTCAGTGTTTGTGTCATAAATATTTGGGGCCTTGCCAGGCCTGAGAATGTGTGTAGCTTTCCATATGTTCAGTTTGTTGCAACACTGAAAAAGGAGAGGCAGAAAACTTGCAAATTACAGTTCTTCCGAAGGCATTGTCCAGAAAAATTCTGGGAAATAAAAGCTATGTTTGTATTCAGTGGAAGAGCACTGATACATACTGTGGATGCACACAGCAGGGAAGACTGCTCACAAGCCTGCTACCCCCTTTCTGCTCCTAGAAACACCCTAGAAAGAATACCGAGTCTTCAGGCTTAGGATTTCTGTGAACAAAAAATAAAATATCCAACCACCAAACCTAAATCGTAGCACAAATGAGAGTCCTTGAATCCAGAGATGTCATTCTTAATTTAAAAGCTCAGGTTGCAGGTAAACAAAATAGCCAATAGCAAAATTAATATTATGTGACTAAATTGATAATGCTGGATCTGAACTGTTAGAAGTTCGGATGTTTGGCAATACATCACTTGTCTGTGTACTGTGTCAGTTCTCTTAGGCAGTCTGCTATTAGCTTAACTGCTTAAATGTGCCTCATTTCCAAAGCTGATACCACCTCTGTAATCTAGAGGGATGTGATTTTTCCACCTTGATATGCTTCTGGAGACTTTGAATAGGTGCCTACACCTTTCTATAGTCATGCTCCAGCTGTGCATCATAAATTCTTAGAAACTCTGCCTGCCCTTGACAGACAAATGACAACTGTGCAAGCATTCTGAAGACCCTGACGTCCTTGCTGACAACAAGGAAGGGAGCGAGGCAGTGTTGTGAATATCTGCACAGATGAACACTTAGAAGGAAGAATTATTAGTAACTAGAGTTCTTTAAAATGTATTATCTGAATCTGTATTTACCACCCATCTACTCTATTTGCCTTGGAGATCCTGTATGCTAAAGTGATTATGAGGCTGGGGGGGGGGGAAGTAGAGCGGATTCACGAACTCGCAACTTCCACCAGGAGCACCAAGTAGTGGGTGTGTGCAAAAATTTCATTGCAGATATTGCAAAAGCAGGAAGAAAACATCTGGTCTGAAGTTCCTGTAGTACATACACAGGCTAAATGCCAAAGTGTAGACAGCTAAAAGTGTAGAATCTCAAAGAATTCTACTTTGGACCCTTTGTTCCCCCTTTTTGCCTTCTTCCCCTTGGTAAAGGGTGGAAAGCAAAAAATACTTTTTCTCCAAGCAAATGACTAAGATCTCTCTTTTTCTGAAGTATAATGCTTCACGGTTGTCTTAAGCTTGAGCACTAAGATGAGAACTGTAATTAGAAGCATTAACTGGAACAGTTTGTTCTTTGTAAATCATCTTGTCTCGAGTTTCTGAGGATAAGGCAGTCTTTCTCTGGGCTCTACTCTGAAGCGTTCTGATAAATGATTATTCCTTTATCTCTTTAGGACTTGTTTCAGCAAGACCCGAAATACCTACTTGCTCAGATCTGTCAGAAACATTACCCCATTCAGTTCAGTCCTCCTTGAAATATGAGTTTTTCATTTGGATCCAATACTGAAAAGATAATCAAAGACGGTGACAAAATTGTCAGGGTGCAGATTAGGGTACACGTTGTCATATTTGTGTGAACAACTGTTTTTAAGGGATTTTCTGCATTCATTTTCTGAAAAGATACAGTTGCCTTTTTGAAGAATCACTTAAAACGGCATCTACAGTAAATTTTCTAGCCTTTCCCATGCAAAAAGGTTTATGCCTAATATGATTTTAAGAGCATCTTTGCTCTTTGTTGAATTTTTATACTTGTCTTAGTTCAGTTGGGCTTAAACTATGAGCCTAAAAAGGCTATTTTTTCATGATGATTAATACAATAAACACCATTATTTAGGAAGAGGAGTAGATTCCTGGAACTAGCTTAAAA